GGCGTGCGCTACCACCACCCGGCTTGGCAATAGGCACTTATAAAAGAGGCCTGAGCTGTGGTAATGCAGGCAAGGCAGGCAGATCTCTAAGAGTTCAAGGCCAGCTTGGTCTACATAACAAATTCACAGATCCTGTCTCAAAATAAATAACAACAGAAAACAAATCAACAACAAAAACCAAAATAAATAAATAAAGAAAAACCACTCAAAACACATACTTGGCATGTTTTGAAAGTAAGAGTTGTTCTAGGCTTTATGTTTTGAGAGCTGAACTCTGTCAAAAGACAATGATGGGCACAGGTGAGGAGAAAGACATCTGACACCTGGGCCTAGGGTTCTGTCTGACAATGTCCCATGGCCACAGGCACCACAGGGGAAGGCTTAGCTGAATCGCAGCTGGTGCCACCAAGAGCCTTGTTCCGAGGATGACACTGCAGCCTTGTGTTAGGGACCTGTGGAGAACAACGTGGTAAATCCCCACCTCGGGGCCACAGCCCTGGTGGGTGAAGTCCGAACCACCTGCTGCCTGGAGGCAGGCTTCCAGGTCTGTAGAATGGAGCTCTGCTGTGGGCAAATGACAGCTGCTGGTGACATTCAGGAGCAGCAGGAGGACACAGCGCCTCCAGCATCCTCTAGACTCCCATGCATGCCCCCCAAGGAAAAGAAGGGTCTAGAACCAAATGCTGTCTCACACTGCACTTCTTAAAACTAAATGTGACCTCTCCTTGGACAGCTGAGATGGCTTAGTGGGTAATGGTGACTGCTGCCAAGCATGATCTGAGTTCAGTCCTTGGGGCCCACATGGTAGGGAGAACCAAGCCCCCATGGGAGCTTGACCTCCACATGTGTACTATGGCATGTGTGTACCCACAGACATATCACACTCGTGCGTGCGCGCACACAGGAACACACACACACACACACACACACACACACACACACACACACACACACACAGAGGATTGCAGGCTTGTCCTGCTAGGCCTGGTTTAGGCAGTGCAGGGGATTGAACCCAGGACTTATTGCATACTAGGTAAACACTCCACTAACTGAGCCACATCCTTAGCTGTCCCTACCCAAGCTTCCGTCCTGCTGGATCTAGGGCAAGCCACTCCAATTACCCCACTGGAGGTTGCCCAGAGGAGGTGACATTAGCCAACCCTGATTCACAGCTGCTCAGACTTGCAGGGTTGGCCCTTAAGAGTCCTGTCCAGTCAGCAGTAAGTACTTACTGGATGTTATTAAGAATTTTTTTGTGTGGGACAGGGGTTGGGACAGGGTTTCCCTCTGTAGCCCGGGCTGGCCTGGAATCTGCTTTGTAGACCAAGCTGGCCTGGAACTCACAGAAATCCACCTGCCTCTGCCTCCTGAGTGTTGGGCTTAAAGGCATGCGCCACCACTGCCCAGCTAAGATTTTAACTATTTATTGTTCAGAAAGCTAATACATCTGTTTTCAGAACTGGCTTGGCTTCAAGCTCAGACTACCCTTGCTTTTAGTTTATGCTGGGTATAGTGGCACACACCTTCAATTCTAGCACTGGGGAGGCAGAGGCAGGCTGATCTCGATGAGTTTGAGGCCAGCCTGCTCTACAGAGTGAGTACTGGGACAGCCAGGACCACACAAAGAAACCCTGTGTTGGGGGAAAAAAATTATTTGATAATTATTCACTGAGTACCAACCACATCCCCAGTTCCCATCCTTGTCAGTCAGGACATAAGATTACACTGAAGCTAAGCATGGTGGCCCTTGCCCTTAATCTCAGCACAGGCAGAGGCAGAAGGATTGCTTCAAGTTCAAGTGCTACAGAGTGAGACTTATCTCAAACCCAAACTAAAACCAAACCAAACAAACAAACAAAAAACCAGTGTAGGGAGGGACTGGGGTATACTTTGGCAGAGTGCTTGCCTAGTGCTCACAAAGCCCTGCATTCAGTCCTCAACCCCTTATAAACCAGGCATGGTGGCACAAGCCTACTCCTAGCCTTTGGGAGGAGGAGAAGGAGGAGGAGGAGGGGGGGATCAGAAGTTCAAGGTCATTTTTGTCTACACAGTGCAGTGAGTTAGAGACTAGCTTGAGACCCCATCTCAAAAAACAAACAACTGGCCTCAGGGCTGGTGGCACACTTTTAATTCCCGCACTCAGGAGGCAGAGGCAGGTGAATCTCTGAGTTCGAGGCCAGCCTGGTCTCCAGAGCAGGTTCCAGGATAGCCAGGGCTACACAGAGAAACCCTGTCTTAAAAAACAAAAGCCAAATAACTGGCTGATGAGATGTCTCAGCAGGTAAAAGCACTTGCCATGTGAGCCTGATGACGGAAGTCCATCCCAGGACCCATGTAAAAAGTGGACAGAGAACAGACTCCACATGGTTTCCTTCTGACCCCAAAATGTGAGCCATGGAACACAT